AAGAGTATATACTTTGGCCTTAAAGTAGTCCCTATATCGGTACTTTAGGGCCAATGTATATACTATTTGGGTACATGGACCCTTAGGGAGTATTCGGGGTCCACAGGTTTCCGGCTCTCCGGGTTGACGATAAGGTCTTTGCGTAGGGTTTAGGGTTTAGGGTTTAGGGTTCAGGGTTTAGGGTTTAGGGTTTTAGGGTTTAGGGTTTAGGGTTTAGGGTTTAGGGTTTGGTAGATAACAACGAGGGGGACCACCACCACCACCACTGCAATTACCACCAATGCCAGTACGACCTGTTCTACTCATAGTCCTCCTCAATGCCGCTGCCTTCTGCGACTAGTGTGTCCATCACGATGAGCACCAGGGATCTTTGAACAGACCCGAAAGTTTTACCTGCAGCCTCATTCATTTCCACAACGCATCAATAGATACTTTCATCATATGACTAGGGTTTGCGGTGGGATGCTTAAAACGAAGGACTACGGAAACCAAAGGCATACTACTACCAACCACCCAGGCCCCTCCATTACACTCTGACGCCCTGCACTGCCCTAGCCAGGACCGAGGTTGAGCGGATGACGCACGTGCTTGTCAGGCCTCCGATAGGTTAGGGGTTTTCGGCGTTTAATGTACGGGCCTTAATAAGTAGAATAGGTGTTTTTGGGTTGATGATACTATAGTTCCAACAAGGGAGTTGAGGTTTCAATATAGGGGTAGGAATAACTGCCTGCTCCGTCATTTTCCTGAAGGGCTGTGAGACAATGAGTCTTGCATGAAAGGAGGCCTCAATAATTTGTGTAGGAACTGTGTCACCACTTCTTCAGGCTTCTGTAGTATATGTTGCTTTACCAGGGTTTCCGGCTTAGGCTTTCGTGCTTTCTGGTGCTTCTTGTGGTCTAGGGTTTATATGGTTTCGCACGGGCTGGTATCCGCGTGCCCCTGTGGATAAACACAACCAGCGACGTATTTATCCCCAGGGGTCCATGTACCCATATAGTATGCAGTTTATAATGGGGACTACTTTAAGGCCAAAGTATAGACTGCATGTGTACATGGACCCCTAGCGTATGTGAAGGCCTTCCGGTTGGCCTGCTGTCAATTTCCGTTGGGAAGAAGACCGCCGAGGGTGGTGAGGGGTTCCGCGGTTTGATGGCTCCTGGTAACCAGATTCCCACTACTCCTGCCATCGCCGTCTCCAATCCTGGTGAGGCCCCTTCTTTTGCAAAGATGGGGGGCCTTGAATGATGAGCAATAGTAGCCCCTTAGTCTTGTGGTATAGAAGCCCCCTCCGAACCCGAGTCTTCTGGCCCCTCCTAACCCTCGTCTAGTACAAAAGGATCTCTGTTACGTCATGCAGATCCTGTCTATTTGTTGGCTCTGGTTTCCTGCTTCAAGGTTCTGGGTAATATATTGTCATGTCCTTGGGTTCCTTAACGAATATACTCGTGTGGCTTTGTAGGGCTTTGTAGGTCACAAGCTGCTTCCAGGAACCACTCCAAGAAGCGAAAAGCACTGTGGAAGCAGGCTGCCAAAGTGCAGGCAGGTGTTGCTCGATGGGGTTTTTAGGGGCCTGAAAGTATGTTTAGTATGTGTGTAGCACAAGATGAGTGACCTGTTGCCATCACGACACCAACCCTGTTCGTGGTGGCAAGGATATCGGATATCCGACGTACTATCTGTCGAGCCTTACAGCCTGTAGTCACTGACATCTGAAAACTACTAGTGTTACTAGCAATCCCCTGTAGTTCTTTCTACATTTCTAATTACGGTGTCGTACAACATGCCCCGAGCCCTAGAATCATCCCTCATAGTTGCTAAAACAGTAGTAGTCTGATGCAGCGTCGAACACTATTCTAAGTGCTGAGGGCCCCTTGTTGAGCTTGAGCCGTGGTGCTACAGCCACCAGCCGCTCTCACAGTTCTGCTCTTGAAGTATCTTATAGGGGCTTCAATATTTGATTCGGTGATGGGGGAACCTCTCGAGCAGGCAGGGACTATAATAAGATAGTATGACCAGTTATTCCGAACTCCATTGTCTACCCATGGGCGCCATAATAGTTCCTTTTTGGGGTTCATATTTAGAATCCTATAAGGTAATCCCCAAAAGCAACTACTTTGGGGCCTATGGGTAGACATTGAAACAATGCTGTCGCTTCGGGTCTGCACAGGATTTGCAGTGCGGCTCAGAGTTGTCGCAGTTGGCCGAGAGTCGCCTAGGGCCCTAAACCCTAAACCCTAAACCCTAAACCCTAAAACCTAAACCCTAAACCCTGAACCCTAAAGCCTAGGACTGCACCATGAGTTTGTTTGCAGGGTTTTGGGCTAGGGAGATACAGGCAACATGCATCCCCTTGGTTTCTAAGGTTGAACCCATGGGCCACTAACATGGGCCCTTAGGGGATTCTAGGGTCCCTTAAGCGTATATATATATATATATATATATATATATAGGGTATATAGTAGCTATATTCGGGTCCCAGGGTTAAGGGCCCATACTAGAGGCCCATGGGTTCTACCTTCGATACGCGCGTAATATAGGGACCGAAATAACGGGGTTCCTTTAACAGGGTTCCTTAAAGTGTTCTATAAGGGGCTACTTTAAGGGTTTAGGGTAGAGGGGCCTACAAAATTGCCAATATTATTTTGGGGGGTCCTGAATATGAGTATAGTATAATGGGCCCCAAAGCCCTATTCTAATTATTCAGGCCCCAACATTACCATGCGGGCTACCGCAAGGGGTTTAGGAACCAGGATTTGGGGTGAGGTTTGGGTTTAGGGTTTAGGGCTTAGTGTTGAGGGGCACAACCTGTGAGGAGAAGCTTAATTTGAGACAATCGTGAGGCAGAGCAACAAGTAATTATGGCAATCTCCGAAACATGACCGATAAAACAACAGTGTTCATAAAATAGACCCTCAAGCCATAGGGGCCTAAATAATGGGGTTCCTTTAACAGGGTTCCGTAAAGGGTTCTATAAGGGCTACTATAAGGGTTTAGGAACCATGACCGATAGACTAGTAGTGTTCATAAAATAGACCCTCCAGCCGACACCGTTCACCCCGAATGAGCTCTAATGAATTAAGGCCCCTCAATGCACAGAATAGGGCTCTTGGAAACAAATCTCATCTAGCACAACAAAAAACAGACCATAGGGCGATTCTGCTTCTGCTTCGGCTCAGTTT